GGGAGGCTGGACACGTCGAACAGGAAGCTCTGGCCCGTCTCGGCTGCCGATTCGTCTGCAGGGGACAGGCAGGGACAGAGAAAGAGCGGAATGAGAGCGAAGCCCGCACTCCCGACCGCGGGACCTCCTAACAGCGGACAGCCCAGCCGCGCTCTGCACGGGAGGAAAGCTGGAGGGAGCCGGCGCCCGCTCCCCCCGCGTCTGGGCTCAGGCAGGAACGCTACCTACCCGGGTCAGAGCAAAGAGAGCCTATGGGGGCCGGGTTCTAGTTCCTCCAGCCAAAAGTGCCGCCATCCCGACCATCCACGCACACCTGCATGTCGCAGTGCCGCGGAGCCAGAAGCGCAGCCCTGCACCCGGGACTAAGCCGTAAGGCCACTACAAGTTCCAGTGCCTGCCCCAGAGCCTCGGGTTTGTGGGAGCAGAGTCCCAGGCCAGACCATCGGGCCGGGGCGCACAGAAGGCCTAGTGGGACTTCAGAAGACGCGCGCCCCTTCCTGGGGTTCCGACCTGTATGGGGACTGCTCCTGACTGTCCTCTCGGAGCCCTCGGGAGAGCCGCGAGTCCCGGCTGAGCGAAAACGGAGAATTCTGATCCCCAAAACTCTTGTTTCCTCGTCTGCTGTCTCTATTCCCCCAACCAAGCCTGGATGTCCCCTCTGGCCACGGTCTCCCACGCAGCTTGGAGCCCTGCGGGTCGTCCAGAGGAGGTAACGCGCCGGCACGGCCGCGGAGCCGCCCAGTCCTACCTACTCGTTTTGCCGAAGGGAAGGCGAACTGAGGCCCAGATAGGCGCTGGGCTCACCTAAGGTCTCACAGCCGTAAACGCTGCTGACCACAAATCGGACCCCAGCTTGGCTCCTCCCGGTGCTCCTGCGGCCTTCGAAGGAGGGGGAAAGACGGCGAAGGAATCTCTCGGAAGGGCCTGGGCAGCCCTGCATGGCTTTACTGCAGTGAAGGGACGGCCGGGTGAGGTTTCTTCCAGGACCCGCTTGTTCCTTCGCAGGCTTATTCTTCCCTCCGTTGTGACTTATCTCAGACTTGTGGGTTTTATTTCTGGTTATGGGCTCTTTTTTTGGGGTGGGGGGCTCAGGGGGAAAATGTTAAAATTCCACCAAGCAGCAGATAAGGAGCTCCCTTTGAAGGGGGTCATATGGTTTCATTTTGCCCCAAACGTGGAGAGACTGTGCAGACTCACCCCACTACTGGGGATTTGCTCACCAACCATGGACGACAAGTCCTGATGCTGAAGTCCAAGTGTGGCCCTGTGGGTGGCCTCTGGGGACCTCAAGCAGTCTTCTTCCAGGTTGAGGCTCAGGGTGAAAAGGGAGGCAGAAGAGGCCCTGGGCAAGTGCTCCTGGCCAGGCTTTTTCTGTCAGCTTGTGTGAGCACTTCCTCTGAGCTTTCCCTGCGGCCCCTGGGCCTCTCCCCTGCAGCCCCTAGCCTCTCTCTGCTTCACTGGCCCAGCCGCTGCTCTTCCCCAGATAGGGAGGAAGGAGAGGCAGCCTCCTCTTAAGCCTTGCCAGCCAAGCTGAGCTCCCCCAGGGGAGGATCTGTCTCTCTCTGAAACCATGGTAGACCAAGCTCAACCTAAGAAGATGCATTCTGGTGCTTCTGCCAGCATAGAGCCTGCGTGCCCTCTCCGCTCCCGCAGCCTGGAAGTCTACAGGCACCGTTTTGTCCCGGCCTTCCCTAGCCCTGTGTACTGAGACTGGGGCTTCCTCTGAGTATCCTGCCATCCAGTCCAGGGGCCGTGTCAGGTCCTCAGAGGACGCTGGACAGTTCAAACCCAGTCATAGGGCCTCTTGGGCCCAAGATTTCCAGGAACCCAAAATGAAACAGTTTGTGCATGGGCATAGTGCGTGTGCATTGGGGGAGGGGGGTGAGGGTGGGTGTCTTGGGCTGCCTTTGCATGCTTTCCCAGGCTGGGACCTGAGGTGTGGAGAGGCTGTCAGTGACTCCCAAGCGGGGTCCACCTCAAATGGACAGCGCTTACTTCCCAATCCTGTCAGCCTTTCTCTCCCTCCTGCCCTCCATGCTGGGTCTCTGGCTGGAGAGAATTAAGGCCAAAATTACTTGCATTTCCGCCTGAAATTAGTTAAATTTTCCCTATCTGTCTGCTTTAATGATTTCAATGGAGATTAATAAAATCCAGATGATACAGCAACTGCCCCATGGCCTCACTCACATCCTACCTTTGGAAGGCCTAGGGCAGAGCAAGGTGGAACAGGACGCTTGGTCCGAGAGGGGCCTGCATTCCCACATGGTCCCTGCAGACCTCTCCCCCACAAAACTAGAGTCCTGGACTTCTGGCTCTCCCAGGAGCCCAGTACCAGACACAGGCGCCCGTAGCTACACACTTCACAGGTGAACAAGCACTTCTGGCTCTCCCAGGGGCCCAGCACCAAACAAGGCACCCATAACTGCACACTTCACGGGCGAACAAGCAACCACCACCCAGACCAGCCTGCTGAGAGGGACGCCCCTCATACCTGGTGATGCCACCAGCCTCTCCAGGGCTGTTGACTTCAGTCTGATACCTGCCTCTGCCCCAGATTCCTCTGGGCTTCCCCCAGTTTGTGCAGCCCTCAGGAGGCTGGGGCTGCCGAAATTGCTGCAAGGAGGCAGCCCCCACCACCATGACCGCGCAGTCCTTCTTCGCGGAACCCCGAGTTCCAACTCGGACCCTCCTGTCTTCTCAGAGGGCTCTGAGCCCGAGGCTCCTCCAGCCCCAGCCCCAGATGGAGAGTCAGACTCAGCCTGCCTCTGCGAGGGGACCTGCCGGTGGGCAAGGCCAGGACAATCTGGCCAAAGGATCCCGCTCAGCCCTCTGGGGCCGGGCCCTAGGAGCTACCGCGACTCGCGCCACCACGGTCCAGGCGCAGCGGGCTTGGGTGCGGCGGCCTCGGCGAAGTTTCCTTCTAACACCTGGGGCTGGGACGCGCGGGGCCGCGGCCCCGGAAAGGAAGTGAGCGGTGACATGGCTCCGGGGGTGGTCTCAGCCCAGGGCCGGACGGGATGGGCGAGCACAGAAGAGGCGTCAGTACCTTGGGTCGCCTGGTCTGCGAAGCCGGTGATGGTGTCCGCGCGGCCGTGGCCCGAGGAGGCGACGGCGGCTGCCCCGGCCAAGCTCCGGTAAAGCGACATCATGAAGTGGTGCGGCA